AGGTAAACAAAATTTTTTTGATAAAAGAGGCTTTTCATTTAAATTGAAAGACAATCACAAACTTTGGCCATGGCCGAGGGCCATTTTGCCTTTTTAAACGTCACAAGGGAATTTAAAAAGCTTCAAACAAATAACAATTGCATAAAGGGTGGGGTCTCGGGCCTCTTCCGGACTACCACCGATTTTAAAACAAACAAAGACACATGTCTTTTCTACCTAGATGAGCGGGAAATCAGGAGTGGCGTGGAGGTTCAGTTCTGCAATCGCTCCTCAGGTTCTGCGTCACGGATGCCTGATGTCCCAGCCTCTTCCTCGATGACCGCATCAATCTCCTTAAAAAGGCCCCAGATTCCTTCCTCGAGAACACCATCGTTGACATTTTCTCATATCGGAAATGACTGGTACAGATGAGGAATTGGCCTGGACAATGCATGATCAATACTCTTGTTCTTCATCTCTGCTTCATTAACATCTATGGGGACATACCCCAAACCAAACTTTGCTCCTTTGGCAGGAATTTGGACAGGCACGACAATTCCTTGAAAGTGCTTCCCCAATCCGAAACCTGATTCGAAACCACTCTGGAGCATGACAGTAGCAATTATTTTGTACACGGAGGGCATCAGAGGTTGCGGAGCCAAATCATCACCGGTGGCATTTACCAGCTCCACCGTGTAGAAATCACAACCTCGGGAAACCTCGTGAACGATCGGCACATACCTATCGGAGTGACTCCCCTCACCATGAATGACCAATTCCTGGTCCTTCCAAACAAACTTCATTAGTTGGTGGAGGGTAGACGGCACAACCCCAGCCATATGAATGAACGGTCTTCCCAGAAGCAGGTTGTAACTGGTGTTGATATCCAACACCTGGAACTCGACGTTCCATGTGGATAAAATGTCTTCTAAGAAGCAAATTGTAGCTGGTATTGATGTCCAACACCTGAAACTCCACATTGAATTCAGCAGGCCCCATCTGAACATCCAAGTTTACTACCCCTATCGTGTCTCTCTACACTCCATCGAAAGCTCTCATATTGACCTGGTTTTGTTGAACCTTTCCCAAGTGGAATTTCAGCTGCTTGAGAGTCGAAAGCGGACATATGTTGAGACCGGACCCATTATCGACCAAAACACGATTTATAACTTTGTCCTGGTATTTGATGGTGATGTGTAGAGCTTTCTTGTGCATCCTCCCTTCAAAGGGCAGCTCTTCGTCACAAAAACTGATTCGGTGTCCTCGGATGACCTTGTTTATCATGGCTGCTAAATTGCCACTGTTAGTACCCACAAGCACATAAGTATCATCCAAAGCCCTCATCAGAGCTTGCCTATGCAGTTGTGAACTCATCAACAAAGCCTATACAGAAATATGAGCTGGTGTCTTCTCCAAATGCTTCATAGTTGAATAATTTTTCGGCTACATTTTCCTCCAGACCTCTTCGGCTTCAGCTTCACTAATCGGCCTTTTAGTCTGATCCTTTTTCTGCCCCCCTTGGGCCAATTCTTCCGGTGTGTAGCACCTTCCAGATCTGGTCATGTCTTGAGTAACAGTCGTTTCAATCACAAATTTTGGTTAGGTAAGAGTTTCTCTCGGCACCAAGGCAACAGCCTTCTCGGGTGTCAGAATCACAGACTCTTTCTTCTCTCTGATGCTCAACGAAGCTACAACCCTTTCCAGTTCATCAGGAGCAATCGGAACTATTACCTTTGTCACGCACCAATCATCATTTGTCTCTATCATATTAATTGTGACGCCTCCATGATTTGGCAAAGGATTACTATTGACATTGGGCACGACTGTTTGAAGAGAGACCATATTCTGGTCAATCAGGTCTTGGATCTTATGTTTCAGGTTGATACAGTCCTCGGTATCATGTCCAACACTGTTGGAGTGATACGCACACCTCTAATCAGGTCTGTAAAACTTTGAGCTAGTGTCAACCAGCTTGGGCCCCACTGGATGAATATATCCTGTCGTAGTTAATCGCTCGAACAGCTTTGTTTGGCTTTCAATAAGCGGAGTGAAAATTCTAGTAGGCTTCTTCTCAAATCTAGGACGGGAGGGATCGTAATTGACTTGTTGCGGAGGAGGCATTTGACGATAATTTGGAGCATTTGGACGGGGGGCTTGATATCTGGGATATGAGTTGGTTTGGTAGTTTGGTTGTGGAGCTTGGTAGTTCGAGGGGGTATTT